GTATCCCTCAAAAATCCAGATTTGGTTTTAACCAATAGTCATTTCTTACAAATTTGTAAAGAAAAAGAAAAATTTAACTTGACATGGCCGCAGCTTACATTATTTTTTACATCCTTGTTTCAGTTTCCTATATCTAGAATTATGCTTATCAAGCGCCTAAAAAAGTCAAAAGATTTCATTGCAAAATTAAATCGTGCCAAAAATTTTGATTTAATAAAGTATTTTTTAAGCTCTGTTTTCTCTTTGAATGTTGCATTTAATGATGTTGTTGGTTTGTTACCTTCTGATGATAGGTCTACCCCTACTTCTATTCACTCTAATGAAATTGTTCCAAATCAAATTACTGATTTTGTATTTTCTGATGTAAACATGCAAATTGCTAATGATAATTATTTGTACTCTGATACTCCAAACTCTATTGTACACATCCCTTTAGGTAATGGTTTTGATAATTTTCTCCTTGAAATACAAGTCAATGAAGAAAATCTTCGAGTTTCCAATTCGGATAAAAAACTCCTTATATTATCTGGTAATTTGACCTTTCAAATAAAAAAATATAAACGGAGAATCTATAAACTGAAAATATAAACTGAACAACCCAACTTGTTTTTCCCTGATTTTGGCTCAGATATCTGATGTTACTAAAGATAACCTATTTATCAACGAAGTAATAAAAATTTGCAATCAACTTGAGCTAAACTTCGTGCAGTGTTTGATAGAGGGGAAAAAAATAACGATAAAACGTTGCTACGATGACGTAGGAGAAAAAATAGCGGCAATTTTGAACCATTTTTTTGAATTCTGGAATATCAGAGAACAAAGACTGGTATTTGCTAAGTTGATGGAGGAAAACATCCCAAGAAAAAATTAAATTTTTTACACTGAAAGTATAAACTATTAGTTTTATACAATTTGTTTTTTTACCTGCAATTTGGGTGTTAAAAAGAATAAATAAATAAATAGCATGGAGTTTTTTATAATATAACCTGAATTTTTTTCTTTTTTTTTTAAAAGATTTAAATCTAAATTTATTTTTAAAAGACTAGGTAAATAAATAAAAACACTTCAGTCTGTAAAATTAACAATTCTGGATAATTTTGACAGATGCAAAAAAATTATGGCATTTAATTTTCTTATATTTATGTATCTCTATCAAAAATTTCAAGTCAAATGTATTAGCAATTGGAAATTATCAAATATATTAAAAGTCATATTGCTCAATTGGTCTGTGCAACCGTATACCTGTGTAATTTACTGACCGGTCTGTACATTGTGCTATAATTTCAAAATGATGTATTTTTCAGATTCCATGATTTTATGCATTTTTCCATATTGTAACCCTAATTTTTGTTTATCATTAAATTATTATATAACTAAAAACACTTCAGTCTGTAAAACAGACGAATCTGTATGATCCCAACAGGTTCAATAAAAACTAGATCACTATTTAAAATTTCAGGTCAAATGTAATAACTGTTCAAATATATCAAATATATTTAAGGTCGATATGACCAATTGGTTAGTGCATCCCTTTTTCTGTAACTTAATGACCGGTCTAAAATTTATGCAATAATTTTACTGACAGGTCTGAAAATTATGCAATAGTTTTCAAATGATGTATTTTTTGGATTTTATGCATATTTCCTTTATGCATATTTGCATAGTGCAACCATAATTTTTTTCATCATAACACAGTTAAATAAGTAGAAACCCTTTAGTCTGTAAATTAAACAATTCTGGATAATCCCGACAGATTTAATAAAAACTGGATCACTATTTAAAATTTCAAGTCAAATGTAAAAACGGTTCGAAAATATCCAAAATTTTAAAAAAATTACAAATTATTCAAAGTTTTTATGTTTGATTTGTTTGAACAGCCCATTTTCAGCAATTTACTGACCGAAAAGTAATTTATATGATTATTTCACTGACTGGTCTGTAAATTGCGCAATAATTTTCAAATGTTTTTTTTTTTGGATTCCATGATTCTTTTATGCATATTCACATGGTATAATTATAATATCACCCCAAATTTTGTTCTCCAAAACTAAAAAAATAATATAAAACCCTTCACCTGTAAAATAGATGATTCTGGACAATCGCGACAAATTTTTTAAAATAAAATTTTGTTTTTTTATTTTCTCATATTTTTTTGATCACTAGGAAAAATTTCAATTCAAAAGTAATAACCATTCAAAAGTTATTCAAAAGTCAGTATGACCCCAAAAATATAGAAATTAGTAAAAACTCTCAGTCTGTAAAATAGGTGATCCTGGTAGATCCAGATTTAAAAAAAAAAAACTGGACTTTTATTTTTTTTTATTTAATTGGTCACTATGGAAAACTTCAAGTCAAATGTATCATCGGTTCAAAAGTTATTCAAATGTCAATAATACTCTCATTTTCTGTGCCATTTCGCAGTAAATTTTCCATACTTAAGTCCTATACCTTTTGTCAAAAAATCACCCGTTTTTTCACTACATAAAGGCCAAAAACTTTTGATCTGCTTAACTTCAAAGGCTAAATGACCCCTCATATTTTAAGTCAAACCAAGCTCTATACAATGACATCAATTATATTTAAATATTTTAATTATAAAAAAATCGTCTGAAATGGCTACTTATACGAAAAACTAATTATTTTATTGTATAAAAATCCTTAAGAATTATTAAACAAAAAAAAACGAACTAATATCTAAATGTCGCTATGAGAACAAGTTTTTGCTGGACAACCACAAACCAAAAGATTAAATTTTTTAACTCATTTTCTTTTGTACAGATTTATTATTTTATGAGAAAAAAAACATATTTACACCTGATGATTGCATTTAGCATGAAACTAATAGTTGTAAAAAATATGCAGTTTTATTTATTAATAGTATATGTAAATACAGCTCTGTTTTAATTTAAATTATTTTAATTTACTTTAATTCATCGAGCACTCTCGCGAAGATATATGCAAGCACAAATACGTATACAAATAAGGCGCTTAATGAAAGAGGTGATAGGGAAAAAAAAGCATAAGCACTAATGGTTTTCCCAAAATTACTCATTATAATTATTGTGAAACTACTAATGACTTTTTAATCGCTAATTTTTTCAAGCATGCGTTTGTTAATACGGGCCCAAGTTCGGCCTCTAATATAAAAAATAGTAAAACTATCTTTCAATCATACTTAACTTCTAATAATAATCATATGAAAAATAATAAGTTATCTAAAAAAGAACGACTTGATGCTGTAAATTTATTAAAACCAAATAAAGGTAATGGAGTTGATGATATAAGTAGCAATATAATAAAAAATCAATATTTTATTTAAAAACTCCGCTTCTGCACATTTTCAGTCTTTCATTAGAACAAGGAATCTTTTCTGATAAACTAAAGGTTGCAAGGGTGATGCCGGTTCTAAAATCTGGAGATGCAACATATATTGCAAATTATAGACCCATTTCAATACTACCATGCTTTTCAAAAATATTAGAACATACTATGCATAAAAGACTCTACTATTTCTTAGATAATAATAACATTCTTTATAATAAACAATTTGGATTCAAAAATGATCACTCTACTGATCAGTCATATGTTCATCTTGTTCATGATATTCTTAAATCTTTTAATGAAAATAAATATACTTTAGGAGTATTTATTGATCTCAGCTTTTGATACTGTAAATCATCATTTTTTATTCACCAAATCAAAAAACTACGGTATTAAACACTTGAATCTTAAATGGTTTAAAAGCTATCTGTCAAATAGGCAGCAATATATTTCTCATAATTACGGAAAAACTAACAACATAAATATATTTTATGGAGTACCACAAGGATCTATACTAGGACCGCTCTTATTTCTAGTATATATCAATGATCTAAGAAAATCTTGTAATGTATTAGACGCAATCTTGTTTGCAGATGATACTAATCTATTTTATGCTCACAATGATATAAAAATTTTATTTAAAACTGTAAACACAGAATTACTATAACTTGCTGAATTTTGTAAGGCAAACCAATTATCTCTAACTTTAACTAAGACAAAATATAATTTTATCATGAACAAGACAAAATTCCATTAAAACTTCTAACTCTTTGTATTAACAATTGCAAAAAAAAAAAAAAAAATGTGACATGGAGAATTCATATAAAATATATTGAAGGTAAAATATCAAAAGGCATTGGCCTACTCTCTAAGGAAAAACCTTTTTTGAATTCAAGTTGTTTAAAACTCTTATATTTTTCTTTTATTCAATTCTATTTTAAGTACGCTAATATTGCATGGTGTAGTACTAACAAAAAAAAATCAAAAAAACTCTTTAATATGCAAAGACATGCAATCAAAATTATATCTAATAAAAACCGCAGTACACCCTCCCAACCTTTATTTAACAAGTTAAATATACCTAATATCTACCGAATAAATAATTATCATTTTCTAATTTTTATGTTCAAAATTAATAAAAGTATTATTCCAAAAACTTTTGATCTCTTATTCAAAACTAATCAGAATAAATACTTAATTAGACATATAAGTAACACCTACATACAACCCATAAGTTACAATGCGGCAACTGAGTTTTCAATTTCAATTAGAGGACCGAAGGCATGGAATAAAATACTAACATCTGAACTTAAAATTTTACATAGTTAAAAGAGTTTAAGGACAAACTTAGACAGTTATTAATAAAAAACTATTTCTAAAAAGCAAAATATCCTAATGAATTAAATGAGGAGTTTATTAATATTAGAAACGCTTGAGTTGAATGCACTTTTGACTTTTCAAATTTATTTATGTTTTTGTAGTTTTAACACACTCTTACGAAAATTGGTTTTTCATTGATTATCTAGAAAATCGATCGGTTTCACAGAAAACCCAAAGGTTTTATGGCGTATCCAAAAAATGATTTGGTTTTTTGCAAGAGAAACAAAAATAAATTGGTTTTCCAACAATTCATATTTGAAAAACTATTGGTATTTTAGAAAATAAATGCGTGATTTTGGTTTTCCAAATATTCATCTATTATCTTTAAATTTGATTGGTTGTTTACTTGCAGCCTCCATATTAGTTTTAAACAAGCGCGCTATTTAATAACTGTCATTTATTCGTTACTTATAAAATTGGAATTGCTGTTATCTATTTTAAATTTTACTCTCTAAGAAGTCGTTCAATTATTTTATTAAACTAATGGCATCAAATATCTTTTTACCTGTTAGTATTTGTTATATCTATTTAAAATATATCTCTAATGTTTTTATTTCCAAAGTTATTGCTTAGCATTACTATTAGTAATGCTAAGCAATAACTTTGAATATATGAATTTGCTATATAAAATTATTGCTTATTGCTAAGCCTTAGTAAATCCCAAGGCTTAGCAATAAGCAATAATTTTATATACCAAATATATTGTTATAAGTAATATATTACATATACTAATATATTAATATATACGATATATTGCTAATAGCAATATGTCGTATATATTGCTTATAACAATATATAGTATATGGTCGCTAAGCTATAATTTTAAAAAAGTAGTAGCAATATTATTACTACTAATTATGCATATTTAATAATAATAATACCATTACTGTAACTATAACTAATATATATAGTATAACTTTTTTTATCATATGATATTTCATTATGATTACAATTTTTATACTATAACTATTAGTAATAGTTATAGTAACTTTAACTATTAGTTGATAGTAATTTTAATAATATAACTATATATATATATATATATATATATATATATATATATATATATATATATATATATATATATATATATATATATATATATATATATATATATATATATATATATATATATATATATATATATATATATATATATATATATATATATATATATATATGTAAATGTATAATATAACTATTAATATAATGATATGAATATCCCATATGATAATATTATGTTTTGCTAAGCAATGATTTCCTAGTTTCCTAATATTTTGCTAATTCTAGTGAGTTCGCCACCTGGGATGAAGAAAATAGGAACAAAGAAATTCAATTCAAAAATTACAAAAAATTTTAAAGAAATTAAACTACTTTAGTGTTTGATGATATAGTCAACATATAAATAGTATATATATATATATATATATATATATATATATATATATATATATATATATATATATATATATATATATATATATATATATATATATATATATATATATATACATATATATATATATATATATATATATATATATATATATATATATATATATATATATATATATTTTTCTTGAAATATTAATTTTCATATATAAGTTATAATTTTTGTCCTAATTTTCTCCTATAAAAATTAAAAGTCAGAATAAAATTTAGTTTTTTAAATATTTTTTAGGCAAACGTTAAACAATGGGATTTATTGGATTGTTGCAGTTGGCTAGATTCCATCGGATTAACTAATTATATAGATGCTTTTAAAGGTATTCTATAATTTGTTTAAATCATATTTGTGACATGGAAAATACATTTTTTTGCTCTATTTGCCACCTAACAACCATTTCCCTTTCTAAGTTGCTGAGACATTTAACGGTTTTCCACAGCCATGATTTTAACTTTAATGTAGAATGCTGTTATACAAGTTGCAAAAAAACATTTTATAAAATAAATAGTTTTCGTAAGCATGTTTACCGTTATCATAAGAATTATGGTTTAAAACAAAAAGGTAATGACCATCATGTGTCTGTGGTTGGTAAAGAAGAATTAATTTTTAGTTGTGACACTTCTAAAGTAGTAGTTGATAGTTACTCTCTTTTTTTAAAGATTGTGTCTGAATTAAAATATTGTGTTGGATTAATGTTTCTGAAATTGCGAGAAAAACATGTAGTTTCCAGCCAAGTTCACATTGAATTTGTATCTGATTTTAAAGAACTGTTTCAAACCTTTTTGACATCATACAACAATGTCATTGAGAAGTGCTTACCAATGCCGATAGATGCTACATTTAAAAGTATTTTAGATAGTGACCTTCTGTGTGATGTCTTTTCACATTTTATGAATGAATATCAACTTGTTAAGTTTTGTAAAAATACTCTTTCTATGGTTGAGCCAATAGAAGTTAAGATTATTGATACAAATAAAAAAGTTCATAAATTCCACTATATAAGCTTGAAACGTAATCTTGAAAAAATACTTTCAAACGAAGAGGTTTTCAATGAATTTGGTAGTTATTTAAATAAAGTAACAATTTCAGACACTAATAAAGACAATTTAAGTGATTTTCATGATGGAGAAATTTTTAAAAAACATCTTTTGTTTTCCACTGACCCAACTGTAATTCGTATTCATTTGTTTATAGATGAGTTTGAATCTGTTAATCCTCTAGGCTCCAAGAGAGGCAAACATAAAATTGTTGGTATTTATTACACTATTGGAAATTTGCATCCACGCTATCGCTCTCAAATGTCTCAAGTTCATTTAGCTGCATTGGTTCGTTCTAATATTTTGAAAAAAACTTCTTATTCTGAAATTATGAAACCATTAATTGATGAACTTATAGAGTTGAGTAATAATGGGATTATTTTAAAAACTAACAGTATGACTCATTCACTTAAAGTAAGTCTTGCAACAGTTTCAGCTGACAACTTAGGTGCTCATGCACTAGCAGGTTTTCGCTGCTGTTTTAGTTCAGGTAGGGTTTGTCGAACCTGTCTAGTTCATTTTGAAACAATAAGGCTAAAACAATATCACATTGACTGTTATTTAAGAACAGATCACAACTACAATCAACAGTTGAATGCAATAAATAAATTTCCTGTTAACAAATCTGTTTATGGAATAAATCAATCGTGCTGCTTGAATAATCTACCATTTTTTAATGTTTTAGAAAGTTTTCCACCTGACATCCACCATGATTTCTTAGAAGGAATAGTTCCTATGGTTTTAAAATTAGTCATCCAAAAATTGATATCACATAACATTATTTCTCTTAAACAACTTAATTATGAAATATGTAATTTTTCATTTGGGTTTAATGATAAAAAAAGTAAACCAGTGCCTCTAAGTGCATCAGTTTTGTCTAAGAAGGGTCGTATAATTGGAAAAGCATCTGAATTGTGGTGTTTTTTTAGATGTCTGCAAATTATAATAGTTTTATTTTTAGCTTTTTGCAGCAGCAAGAGTTATTACAAATACAGATATTGACAATAACTGCTTGCTATTATTGGGTAGAATGAAGGAGGGAATGAAGAAGTTAATAGATTTAAAAAAACCTTTGTCAGCTAGATGGCAAACATTATGCAATGGGGTACTTGATGAGATTAGTGATGGTAATAATTGTTAATTTAACATGAAAATTATTTAATTACTACTCTAATTTTGTAATTTTTATTTCATTTTTCTATTTTTAGCAACAATAAAAAACCTTCATTGTTTAATTTTTCCAAGCATTTTTTGTGACGAAGAAGCACTTTTGTTCACCATGGCGCTAGTAAACTTTATTGATCGTTTAAATGATTGTATATCATTATATCATCGATTCGTTTAAATGATTGTATATCATTATATCATATAAGTCATTTTAATATTCCTTTATTTGAATAAAAATTGATGGAAAAAATTATTCAGTTCAATTTTTATTACTTAAAAACTCAATGCTTATTTTAATGCAATATTTATTTTAATATTTTTAACATTTATACATTTTTATTCTAATTATTTGCATATATATTATTTATATGATTATTTATTTAAATATACTAATAAAGTTAACTAATGCAATTTTTAATATTTATTAATTATATGCTTTTTTTTATTAGGATCCAATCTATCCAACCCCTGCTCTGAAAATTGAAGGAGATGCTATAAATCCAACACGAATAAGTCTTGTAGTTGACGGGCTGACACTAAGCAATTCTGTTCCTAATGTAACTTGTGGTTTGGGTCTCGTCATCTGCTCATATTATATTTTTGATATTGCGTATCCAAAGAAATTACAAAAAACCCTGTCTTTTCTAGAACATTACGTTTTTGAACGAAGGAGTAAACTTCCTGCCAACATTCAAAACATTGCTAGTTTTTTGAACTTATAATATTAAATGATAAAACTTAATAACTTTAATGTTATTAATTTGTTTCAAAATCTTTATTTAAATCAAGTTTATTTTTTTAAACTCTCCAATTTTTAGTTGTTTTATATATATATATATATAAATATATATATATATATATAAATATATATATATATATATATAAATATATATATATATATATATATATATATATATATATATATATATATATATATATATATATATATATATATATATATATATATATATATATATATATATATATATATATATATAGATTTGAAAAGCGTATATAAATATGGTAAAAAATTAATAAACTTCATCTTTTGTAATAAATTGTAATTTCTGGCCGATTATTTCTATTCTATGAAACAAAACTCATGGAGCTAAGTTTAGTAAAATAATCATAAATGTTTCGTTTTAAAAGTTATGACATAAGTTTAATTAAATCGTTATTGCTGGAAAACCAGTTTTTGGTTTTACGGCTTGTCCCAATAAACGAACCAATTTTGATTATCCAGAAAACCAAAAAGCGTCGGTTTTCTAGAAAACCAATTTAGTTTGATTTTCTGGATATTCAAATTGGTTTTCTAGAAATCCAAATTACTTTGGTTTTCTGAAAAACCGAAATAAATTGGTTTTCTAGATATTCAAATTTGGTTCGTTTATTGGGACAAGCCGTAAAACCAAATTTAGTTTTTTGAAAAACCGATTTTTTAAGAGTGCATGCAATGTTGTTCTTTTTACTTTTTATTTTTTGCTCCTTAATAATATGTTTTATTTATCACTTTACCAATTTTACGTTTGTTTATTTTACATTGTCAACGGAAATGCTTATTTTTCAATTAAACTTATTTACGGAATTTATTAAGGTGCTTGGTGAAAAGACATATTAGTCTTCTTCATGATCCTGCTACATATATATCTTGTTATTAAGATACAGTTTGTATATAATAACACGGCAAAAAAAAAAGAAAAAAAAAAAATATGTATATATATGTATATATATATATATATATATATATATATATATATATATATATATATATATATATATATATATATATATATATATATATAAATAATGGAAATTCCTTTATAAATTATACGTTTATTATAAACAATCTTAGCACACTTACCTTTTTTGTCTTTCAGCATAGGGTATCGTGGTTTATCCTCACATGTCACACTACCTAGGCCCGCAAAGACAAGTTCATATCCCCTAGAATCGCCACAACCCGTTCTACGGACCAAGAATAAGATGAGGGTGAAAAGAACGAAGATATTTTAGAGTAAAAATTGGAAGTAGCCGTGTTAGAAAGATGGCTTAAAGAAAACTTACAGATATTGCACACGATGTTAGAAGGTGCAAACATCATAAGCAATTTGATGAATTAACATTGCTTATGAGATATGTGTTTTTGTTTTATAGCATGTATGCCTATAAGCATACTTACAGTGCATTTTTTTTTTAATGAGCCAATACAGGTTTTGCGTTTTTTGTAAAAACAAAACCTGAGTTATTTAAATTTATTTAAACCATTTATACTCGTTTTCCTATAATAGTTTTCGATAGATAAATAATTTATTATGTTTATTATATTATATAATTATTTTTAATGTATAATAGAAAAATTTGCTATGACTTATCACTATTAAAAACAAATTCAATATTTAAGCACTTATAATATTCTCGTTAAGATTTTATAAAAAACTCGAAAGATTTACTGACTAGAATTTAGTTTTAATCACACGACGTATTAAAATATTCTTTATCTTCGTTTAGAATAACTCTGATTACAGTTTTATTTCGTTAAGTATAATTCTGTTTAGGATAAGTATAACTTAAGTAAAACTCGTTAAGTATAACAACAAAATTTTATTCGTTAAATATAACTCTGATTTACAAACTTTATTAAAAGTTTATTTTGAATAACAATTCTCAATTATATTCATTACACAACCGCTTAAACATACTCACAACTATTAATAGAAAATTATTAAAACCACATAATAACATGGAATATTTTAGAGTTTACTACTATGCATTGCAATAAAATTAGAGGTTACAATTTAGTACGTATTTATTTTAGGATTACATCACACTAAGTGGAATAATTATGTGCACCATATTGATTATCAGCATATTTACCAATCATCAAATGGATATATTTATAATATAGTTTTACACTTTTATTCCACTTGTAAGCACTACGGCCACATGTGGGTCATATATATCTTTTCTGTCGGGTTGTTTGGATTTTTGTGTCCAGGCTTTGCTTCGCAAAAGGTCAACTAAAACTTTATCATATTTATTGCTTATTTAATCTACACTTTTAATGTACACATTTCCAGAGCCTTATTTTTATTGTTTATTGAATTTAATTTCTCCAATTTTTTATTTTGTTGTTAAAAGTTTTGTAAATTGTACTGTTACGCTTTCGAAAATATCTTTTTTATTCACCAGCTATTGTAAAATTTTGCGCCTTTTTAAATTTCCTAACAGTTAAAACGCGTTTGTTCACAGTGAATATTGAGAATGAATTTTCTCTTTAAAATGTCTCTTTAAAACCTATGGTCTCTTAAGGTGGTAGCCCTATGAAAAACTATTTTCAAGCATCAAAGTTATATTTGCAATAAAACTAAGTAATTAACAATAATTATGAAACTAGATAGAAAATGATAGAAATGTATATATAAGTGCCTCGCTTGCCTCGATATTTTATTACAAAGTGTGAAAAAAACGAAAACATTAAAATTCAATTTCTCAAAAGTAACAAGATCAAATCTGCAAATTTGGTATGGTAGTTCTTTTGTTAGTATACAATTAATTTGTAACAGGATTTTTAATCATATCATTTAAAAATAATAATATAAGTCGTTATATAAAAACGATGTAAGAAGCGGGAAAAAATATTGTTAAGAAGTAAAGTTTTCTCTACGGTCCGAATTAAATTAAATTTTAAGACCATAACAAAATAACAAGGAAAAACATACATCATCATACTTAACAATATTATCTTGAAAATTTCAGCTTAATTGCTTAACTTAAACTTAAACTTAAATTTTATTTCACAACTTTATTTCACAACTTTATTTCACAACTTTATTTCACAACCAATATAAACAGTTTAATATGACAGTGTTGTATAGCTCTGGTAGTTTTTGGGAAAAAACTACCATAGCTTTATAAATCTGTCATATAAAGATTCTTATAGCTTTGGTAGCTTTTAAGGAGTGTTTATAGTATAAACACTCCTTAAAAGTTACCAGAGCTATAAGAATCTGTTTTTTCAGTATCTAAGTATCACTTATGAAAAGATCTTTTTTTCTTCACTTTTTGCATACAGTAGTTGATTAACGACGTTTGTTTACAATTCGCTTTTGGTCTTTTAAAACCAGTTTTGAAATAGTCACTGATCCTAACATTAAAAAGTAACTTAAAACAGATTTCACCCTTTCACCAATATCATTATAATTTTATGTTGGTATTCTTGATCATCAAGTTTAGCGCCGTGAAAAGATATTGCCCAAACTGCTTACTTTATAGCATACAAACTATGAATATTGTTTTTAATTGCTAAACTATAATAGTTTTTGAGAGAGTTTATTACTGATTCTGTAAGTTTACCTTTTTTATGCAGACAGGTCTGTGTCTTTTTATTTAAATAAACAAGATTTCTGAGGCGAGTACCAAGACGTTTTTACGCATGACTGATTCCTTTTAACTTTATAGGAATAATACTATATGGGTCACTTTGCACAATATCATTGAATGATAAAGTGTAACCTTCTCCAAGATACTCTTTATATGTATAATTATACTTTGCTACGGAGCGTTCAACCATCTAGATAACTCCATCGAACCATGGTTGGATGGAATTACCTGGTACCATAAGAGTCTCCTACAAAAGACTCTTTATAGTATGTTGCATATATGGTTAACACGCCATTTATCATACTGAGAGCTATTATTTTTATTTTCACAATATTAACAAGCATTCAAATGTTTTAAAAGAACTTCATGGTCCATACACTTTTTACCAATCAATGATGCCGTGACTCTATTAAGAGACGAGTACCCGCTCTTTTGCCACGTGCCATTAGTTGTGATGCAATGGTAATAGAGACATTTCATATCATTTTTTATGCGTTCAAGGGCTACCCTATTTATAATTTTAGTTGTAGCATTTATATAAACAGCATATACTAGACCGTTTTTTCGCCTAAATTATTTATAGCATTTTCAGAAATATTACATGAGTTTTTACTCTTTGCAAATGTTTTGATAGCCTGAAAGCCTAATCAAATTTCACGAAACGCAATAACTGAACGTACATTCACTTCATATAACATTTTCTTCAAAATATTCATATCAATTAAAAAGAAGTAACTCTGGTGGATGGCTTTCAAAATCTTTAAACTTCTTTTTGTCGAAAAAATATTTTTTTTTTGAAAAAAGATGTTTTTGGAGAGTACTCTGTTTTTGTGGTTGTTGATGATGTAATGAGTGAAAGTTTGTTTGATAATCATTTTTACAACAATTATGAAGGTGAATATTAGTTTATTGTTTTTAAAAACAAAATTTTGTTCTTTATCTTTAGACATTATACTTTTAAAATAGTACAAAAACTAAATATTATGACTTTCATTATTCTAAAATGTGATAATACTTGATTATATATTAATAATGCAAATGATCATTCAAGTTATGACCAAATAATAAGCAAGATAGACTTTAATACTTAAAATGTTTTTTTAGCATTTACAATATATAAATTTGCAGTTAAATATTAGAAATATTTTTGCTTATATAACGGTTGCTATGGTGTTGTTATGGATATTACAAATTACTTTTTTAATATAAACGCAAATTATTATAACTCAATGTTAAAATTTTGCATTAAACTTTTTGTATTCTGTAATCAACAGATATCTTAAAAGATTATTTGTAGTTCACACTTACAAAATTAGTGCTTTAAGCAATCTAATTGTTTGTCTT